TGATTATTCAAGTAAGATGGGTAATCTAAATTGGCATGAGTAAATGGAAATTTTTTTCAGAAATCTTAAGTGTGATCTACTGATGGGTAAGTGTTATTACCCAGTACCCCAGAACAAATCAGGGACTATGATTTTGTTAACACCATCATACATCCTCCCTGATATATTTTGGCTAACAAAGGGGACAGCATAACACAAAACATTTTTAAGACAGGTTCTTGTCTCATGAGTGTAATTTTTAAAAGGCATGCTTGCTCCTTGCCTGGTTTCTTTGACCCATACCCAAGGATCCTCATGACTTAGCTCTATCCATCAAAGTCACTTTCATCTTACCCATTGAGGCAGGTGGGTCTGCTTGGCTGCCCAACATCCCTCTCATTCCTCCCTTCCCTTGGGGAATGCCTGGAGCTACCATTGGCATTCCACCTACCGACTGCCCCAGCAGCCAGTTTCCTCCTGCTCACCTGTGTCACAGCAGATAGAAAACACCAGACAGCTTTAATATTTTAAAACCAGACAGATAATACAACTGCTAGGCATGGAATCTATTGTCCTAAACTCATCAGCTATCTTATATCATGATTCCTCAGGTGGCAGAGGCCTGCACCAGGTCTAATAGCCCCCTAGACCTTCAAGGTCTCCTTGCTCCTCTCTCCAAAGCCTGGTTGAAAAGCCTCTTTCCCTATTTCATGTCCTCTCTTCCTCCTGGAACCTGGAAATCTGGCCTCTATATCTTTGCCAGGCAATTAGCTTCTTCTTTATTGACATATCGGTTCCCCCACACACACTTATCAATAGTAAACAATACAGAATAACTATGTCACCATTTCTACTCAGCCCATCTGCACCAAAACATCCCAAGGTCTGGATAGCATAACTTTCAGGGAAGAATTCTAAGAAAAATTAAGACTGATATCAGCAAAACTCATCCCACGAATCAAAGAATTAAATCTGTAATGGATATTACCAATCTTTTCTTTGTGTTATTATAAACACTTAATGAATAATTTAGGCATGTAGGCCATTCCGGAGAAAAAAAGGAAGTGTCCTCTCACTGCAGAGTAGTGTCAATATGGCTTTGTGGAAAGTGAAGACAATATGTTGGTGAACCTATACTAGCACTTGCAAATAATACATCAAATATTTAAGGATTGGAAGTATTTAGTTTGAATAGCATATAAATTGAAGTAGCTTGACAAGCTATAATAAAAAGATGGTGGAATTAAGACAGAAGATATGAAAGACCCTATAGATATAAAAGTAACCAGATAGAGGTTGGAGAAATGGCTCAATGCTTGAGTGTATATGGCTTTTTAGAAAACCTAAGATTAGTTCCCAGCATCCATATTAGTTGCTATAGATTATATAAGTGCCTATATCTCTGGCTCCTCGAGATCCCATGCTGTCTTTGGAGCTCAATGATTACCTAAAGACATGTTCTCTCCTCTGGCAGAGCATACACATAAATAAAAGACACACACACACACACACACACACACACACACTTGTTGCTAAACATATAAGGACATTAAGGTCCCCACAAAAAAATGAAGCGAGCTATTGAAACACAGTAAAATGTTAATTCAAGGAACTGAGAAAAACTCAAACAGAAAGTGCCAAAATGCCCAAATCATGTCATATTACACTCAAGCTTCTAATATCAAAGATAAACTTTGATATAACATAATACACACAGAAAAATCAACCTGGTGCAATGGATTTGTCAATGAGAGCAGAGGAAATGGAGTCAACATTTTCTTATGCTTAGTAAAAAGAGATAACCACTCATACTTTATATCAAGAAGTCAATCACAGTACTCCCAGGTGAAAAAAGGGAGAAGAGAATGTGGTACATTCATATGTACTCCAAACAGCACAGCTAAAAGGGAGCATCCAAATAGAGGAAAATAAAATGGAGAACTAAGAGAATAAAGAAAAAACAGATACAATATATTTTTAAAATAAAATTTATTTTGTTGTATAGTAGTGCTATATAAATATATATATATAACATATATTAAAGTGTATTAGAATGATTTTATATAATTTTAAAGAGAAGAAAAGAGTGTAGTTGCATAATTTTTAAGGTAAAAGAAACCCTTGGATGAAAACAAATTTAAAAAAAAAATCTAAATGGACCATTGTGACAAATGTGCTCAGTGACTAGTCCTGGCTAGTAATCAATGTCAGTAAAGAGAAAGTATAGCTTTCTCTTTAGTCACTGGCTCCACGGCCTAGCACATTATATTAGTTTGCAATACTGGCTCTTGCTAAGCTACTTGAATAGAAAGAAAGTTGAATTTTCACACCCATGTCTGGAAAAAGCAGATCAGCTAAAATTATAGGCAGAGTTGAAACCTGGGCAGGGAGCATAATATTTATCCCTTTTTATTAGTCATATGTCATTTTTCCTGTCTTCTATCCCTCCTTGTGTCTAATATTATACTCTCTTGGCTTTCCTACCAGATAAATAAATAAATAAATAAATAAATAAATCCTTTTGTTTTAAATACTACAAATTATTTTGGAAGTTTAACCCAAAGAAAAAACCAACTAATAAGGTTCTAATTACAAAGAAAGAGAATAATAATTAACACAATTAAATCAACACAAGTGTAGAGTAGACAAATTTAAAAAGAAGTAACTTTTCAATATTTCAATTAAATTGATAAAATAATAAAGACATTAAGCTTGAATGAGAATGTATATATACACTGTAACTCTTCAAAAAGCACACACAAAAACTGTGCAGAGATACATGGACATACCAAATTGAAATTCTAAAATCCATTCAACACACATATTATTTTAAAAAGTAAAGAAAAAAAGTAGAACAACAGAACAAATAGAAAGCAAGAACTACAGATAGATATTTAAGGTAATAATTGTATTAAATGTAAATGATCCAAGTATTCTCAGTAAAGTTTTGAATGGATTAAAATTGATTAAACAACTATTTGTTGCCAACAAAAACAATGATACAGACAATTTAAAAAAAACAATGGGAATAAACCCTATAGAATACTGAAATTGAGATGAGCTTGTCTGTAGGAGGTGACACACACTTTTAATCTCAGCTCTTAAGAAACAAAGGATCTCTGAGTTTAAGACAAGCCTGATCTGCAGAACACATTTCAGGACAACCAGACCTTCCTAGAGAACTCGTGTCTCAAAACAAACAAATGGATGATGAAATAAAACAAAAAGAGAGCTCAAATGTCAACATTACTGTCAGGTAAAGTAGACTTTACAGCAAAGTTATCACCAGAAAAAGAGAATGCTATTACATGGCAAACAGGCCTCTATACTTTGAACAAATAGTACTAAACAGAGCTCAACATGTGGTCATACCAAACACTCTGAGAACTGGAAGAGATATACAAATGCTTAATTTTATCTGGAAGCATACATATCATTACTGAGTCCCCATACAACATACTCAAAATAGATAGATGATAGATAGATAGATAGATAGATAGATAGATAGATAGATAGATAGATAGATGAGTGGTTGTGTCTTCTACATATGTCAGTGAAGCTGTACCCATCAATTTCCACAATACAGCTGCCTCACCAAAGCCTGCATAGTGACAACAGCAGTTGACATGCCAATGTGGATAAGAACATCTGTAAAGATGAAGAGCTATAGAAAATTAATGGCTCCTGAGAGAGAGAACATGAGTCTTCTCCAGGGACAAGCCCCTTCTTAGGTTGTCTAATCTCAAGCAATCAGCCTTAAAAGATATGCATAGAAACAGTAATGAATGGACTCAGGTGTGTGTGTGTGTGTGTGTGTGTGTGTGTGTGTGTGTGTGTGTGTATGTATGCATGTATGTATGTTTAATAATAACTATAGAAAAGGGGGCAGAAATTTGAAAGGGAGTGTAGAGCGATGCCCCAGCAATTTGTGGGAGGAGGGAATATTGAAGGATAGTTTGTTTAAGACTCCTCATATAACTCAAGGTGTGTTAGGGAACATAGATGTTAGTAAATTAGAGAAAGTCCTTTAATCCACTGTGATTATAAGTGATCCACAAGGGTCCCCTAAGACACTAACAGTGAAATAGCATTTAAAATGTTCTACATAATATAACCAATCAGTAGACATATAATATCCTAGCTATGGAATTCACCAGGGCCTGTGCTTTCATTGCACTTCTTGGAAATTGTAAAGAATGTCCATATTAGTCTGCATAGATGTCAAATCTTCCCCACTGTCAATAAAGCAGCATTCTCTGAATGTCTGTACTTGACTTTACCAACGAAGTGATAGCAGTTCCTCCTTCTTATATCTTTTCCATGACAGAGTCAGCACATAGCACAATGAGAATTGATTTTTCATTTCTAATTTTTAAGACAGGGCTTTTATCTCAGAGTTGCTATGTAATAGAGCATGACTTAAAATTATGATCTGCCCGCTTTTACCTCTCATGTGGTGAGATTACAAGTGTGCCACACCGAGCCAGTTGTAGGTTGAATATGAAATACTCCACATAGGCTCACATGTATGAATGATTAGTATTCAGGAGAAATTCCTATTTTCGAAGGTTGTGGAACTATACTGAGGCAGGACTTTACTATAAATTGGTCACTGGCAGATGGCCTGGAACTTTCATGCCTTGGCACAAGTTCTGTTCATTCTGTTTCTTAAGTGGTAATAGGATGTAGCCAGCCAGGCTCCTACTTCTATTGCTGCAATGTCTTCTCTGCCAGAATGGAATATATTCTATCATACTATGAGGCAGAATATGGCCTACCTACTTTAAATTGCTTCTTGTCGGGCCAGTGAAAAAATTAACTAACACACCTGTTTTTATGTTGTAGTGGAGATGGAATCCAGAGTTTCATGCATGCTAGGCAGGCACTCTTCAAGTTAACTACATACCCAGCTTTTGATGGTGAAAATTCTAAATGCATAAGATAAACCCAGTGTGAGTACCAGAAGAAGCAAGACTTATCCAAAGTCCATAAACCACCAGTTAACAGAGACAGTGACTTACCACTGAGTAGATCTGATGCTTGCGTCTTTTAGCCAAGTCAATTATGTTCACTCCATTGTAGTAAAGATTTTCAATACAGCCATGGAAGTTTTTCTTTAAAAAGGTCCCAGGTTTGCTTGGTACTGGAATTCCTCCAAAACTGAGCTTTATTAAATAGAAGAAATAGAAGTGAACAATTGGTTACAAGGAGGAATGTAAGAGAAGTACATTTCTCTAGACTTGTATTTGTGAGACAAGCAGCTTTGTTAATTACAGATGCCACTTGATTACTCCTTTAAAGGGTACTTATTAGCCCATTTTAAAAGATCTATAATTGCTTTCCTCTTAAGAACTCACTTTACAAAACATTTTCATATCTTTATTAAAACTTTTAATACTAAATAAGATAGTAATTTACAGAAACAGAGAAAAGAAGAATAATCAATATCTTTATATTTATCTGAAGCACAGCAGCAGAGAAGATATAGGCGTAAAAAAAGGTAAGAAATGAAGCAGATTCATTCACCCATAGTGAAACCCAAAGTACCAAAGAGGTTATATGCACAACATTGTTTTCACAACTGTTATCTATAAAGACAAAATATTGGAATAATACCAAATGCCCTATGGATTTGAGAAGCAATTAAGAATGAGCATAATGAAACTGGTAGCATAACCATTATTAAGAATGAAATATGATTATAAAGTGCAAGAATTATAATTGGTTGTGAAAGATGTAGTCAGTGATGAGAAAGCTGTGCACACAATGGCCAGGAGATACTAGTGGGTAAAACCACAAGACATACAGCCTCTCAACCCAACCTTGATTCCTAGAACCCTTGTTAAAACCAACAAACATTCAAAAAACAGTAATAAAAAAATAATCCAAATGAGGTAGCTTTCACCTGTGTTGCCTACACTACTATGAATAGATGGTAGGCCAGGCTAGGAAAAACATCCAGAAACTCAGCAGCCAGCTACTCTGGAGTTACACTGCAGCAGCTAATTCAGAAGAAATCCTGTTTCAAGTTGTAAAGCAAAAAACTACTGAAAGTTGTGCTCTGACCGCCACAGGCATGCCATGGTGTGTCCAGACATGTTGCAAAAGCACACACACACACACACACACACACACACACACACCTACAAAGTTTAGGAACAGAGTTACATTTTAATGGTAGATGTCTGGGATGATTACAGGTTATTAGTTTTCTTTACTGTGTATATTTTCTGTAAAGAAACAGAAACAATGTATCACGGATATAGTAAAGAACAAAATATCTGTTGGAAATACTGTTCCTGCTTTGAAAGACAAGATGATAGTAACTATACTCTCACTTTCTTCACCCTTTGATGAGGAATCAAGTTTTCCATATTGTTTGGAAATATCACATTGCCTAGGACTCTTTACCCTCTTAAATCTCTAATTCTTTCCTCTTCTTCTTCTCTGACCTCTCTCTCTGTCTCAGTCTTCCCCCACATACACCTCCCTTTCTCGCTTCCTTCTTTGCCTTTCTCCTTTCTCTCTCTCTCTCTCTCTCTCTCTCTCTCTCTCTCTCTCTCTCTCT